TGCATAAAGCGTTTTTAAAGCAAAATTAAGGTAATATTTATCTTTTTTAGTTGTATTTAGTAATATTTTATGCATTTATGATCAATTTATACCAAAATCAGATATCTGTACCCACTTTTTTAATTTGTACTCTTTTTGAATTGATGAAGCAAAATTCATTTAAAATGCAATAATTGGTAATTTTTTCATATTTTTTATTAATATTTATCTTTTTTAGATGTATTTAAGAATATTTGTTTTTTTAATCAATTTATATCAAAATATATGATTTTCCAATGGAGTACCTTGAACCCGTAGTAAGGGCAATAAATAATAATGCCAAATAACGAGTAGGAAGCAAGAAGAAGAATTATTTTTTTCGCGCTTAATTTTTCATAAATATTTAATTTCTTTCATTAATTTTTTTTTAAATTGGATTTTAAATATTATTCAAATTCCCTCCTTATATAATATTCTACAAAAAATTAATGCCGAGGTCCCCTTGTTTAAAGTGCGTCTCTAAATTTTGTTACATCTGTGTGGGCTATATATTGCCCGCACAAAAATGTCCAATTTCTCCAATCATTCAAAGGATTTATGAAATTTATTACAATATTCCACTCTGCGATTTGGATAAACCATTTGCCCCTAATTACATATGTAAAACATGTTATAATTCTTTTAATTCATGGGTAAATGGAAAACGGTCATATTTGCCTTATTCGAAACCTGCATTTTGGCACGTAGCAAGAAATCATTCGTGGGATTGTTATTTTTGCTCGACTAGTATATTTGGGTTTAACAAAAAAAATAAGAAGAAGTTATCCTGAAATTTCGTAGGTTGTTTATCCGGTAAAATATAATAAATAAATATATTAAATGTAAGCTATATTAAAAAAGATTTTATAAATAAAGGTAAATTTAAAAAATATGGTTGTTTAAAAATTGAGTAAGGATTTTATAAAAAAAAAATGTATAATAATAATAAGGAAGGTTTGCTGCAAAAATTAAGATATTTTTTTAGTTGTAGAGATCATTAGAACCGAAGTTATAAACCTTCAAAAAGTGCTAAAAATGACCTTTTTGGCCACTATAACCTAAAATAAATAAAAAACCTGACGTGCTAGAAAAACTGACAGCGGATTTAGAATATGCATAAAAAACTGTCTTAAAACATGTTTATTTTATTTTCTCCCAAAAAATCAAGTCGAAATTTGTCACACAGTGTAATGTATCAAGTCGAAATTTGTCACACAGTGTAATGTATTAAGTATAATAAATTTCTTTCGCATTATTATTCATATTTATTAATGATATAGAAATATAAATTGATAATCAAATTCATTCCATAATTTAAAATTTATTTAAAATAAAATATAGTTAGATAATATAAATTATTATATATTTAAACAAACAAATTAAAAAGATAAAAAGGTTTGATTGTTTCATCTTTAGTTGAAGAACTTACCACATCTAAAATTTGTCATTTATGTACATAATTTGTCAATCAGGATATGTATAAGAATTTGAGGGCTCAAATAGAAAATTAACTAAAACCTCCTTTTTTCGAATATTTTTCTAAAATAGGCCATCCACCATTGATTATCATAGATACATGTTATATATCTATTTTCCATATTAAATTCGCATTAATATTTGAGTGAAAGATTATGTTTAATATTTGCGATTCTGTTGAATAAAATTCTGCTTCAATATTATCTTGAGAAATTAGATAAAAAATATCACATTTTTGCGTTTCTGAAAATCCTTAGGACAAATTATTTGTTCTGTAAATTAGCCATCGCCACTAAACATTTGACTGTACCTCTGATTCCAAGCCGATTTTCCGTGAGATGTGGCCCAGAAATGCCATATCGAAATCATCTTTATGATTGCAAAGATTGATTAAATTTTTGCGAATTTTATATGCTCCATCTGAAAAGTAGAAGAATTTTTGGGCGGCTTTGAAATTTAAGTAGCAGACTAAATATTGAATAGAATAGAAATTGTATTATGAATGAGAGATTTTAATATTAATAATTAACTTAAATGATTTAAATTATCTTGTAATAAATCACAAATAGATGAATGGTAACTTGCGCTTTATTCCATTGAAATCCTTGTACTTCTTGAACCACAAAGGCATAATTTCCAGCAAAATCTGCCTGAACAATATATTCTTAATTTAAATTCATTTTAGTAAAAATCGTATTAAAAAGTTTTTGAGATATAAGCAATATAAAAATTTTACAGGTGCAAATACCTTCATTTGTCGCACCTTAGAGGCTCTGTATCTGGGGAACAGGGTGTGCTAACGAACAAATAAACGGATTTCTTATTTTTTAACCGATCAAAATAATTCCAACAATTTTAAAAATGGTCGACAGAAATTTGCCTTTTTTGATAGATTTGACAGAATGATGGCCCAAAAATTTGAAATATTTTGGTATAAAAAATGGAAATATCCAGTTACTGGTAAGTTAGCTATATATTTAAGGCAAATAAAAATTACAATCGCCAAGGTTTCCCACATCGTATATATATTGATAAAAGATAATAAACTAAATAAAAGAAAATCAAATTTTCGAAAAAATATGGGTAAAATAATACAGGTAAACTGTAAGTTTAAGATGCCAATTTTTTCCTTTTTCGATAGACCTTTAGAGGTTTTTTTTACCTACAAAATGATGGAGGACTTTTAATTTTTTTAAAAAATATAGTTTTTGAGATATATGCATTTTAAAAATTTTAGATTAGATTACTAATTTTCGCCCCTTTAAGGACCTGTATCTCGGGAACCAAGTGTGCTAACGAGCTAAAATAAAACTGATTTTTTAAACTAAAAATAATTTTAGAAATTTTTAACAATAAAAAAGGGTGTCGAAAATGGCAAATTAAGCCGCCGTGCTAATTATTGAAGAAATTATTAGAAAATATGAGCAGTTGGAACAAAAATTTGAAAAATTTTAATTAGACATAAGATGATAATTTATAATGAAAAATTATAATTTTTTCCCCCTAATTAACAATTTTTGACTTGGTTACAAATGGATCTAGTCTTTAATTGATAACTAACAAATTGATTTAGTATTTAGTTGGTAACTAAATATTTACCAGTGACAAAGTACCTAAAATCCCTTTTATCTCAAATATAATTGATAGCAAGCTAAAAAAAATTTTTAACTAAATTATATGACGTGATGATAAATTTTATCAAAAATGAAAGATAAGTGGTTTGTGATGCTTGATTTGACATGGAATAACTGATATTTATTTTAAGACAAACTTAAAATTTAGAAAATTATGTGTTATAAAAAAAATTATTATCCATAAATTATCCATTTTTAAAAATATATTCATATGATCAATTTTTAATGAATCATACCCCTATTTTTACATCAACTGATTTTGTTAACCTCCTTAAAATTCTCTGCATCATCTTATTTATAATACTAACAATTAATATTTGCCCTAAAAAACTAAAATTATAAACAAGCCAATGAAATTATCAAAGAATGTTTACAAAATATTTGACTCAAAATAAAATTATTACAAAAATATTATTGGTATATATGCCTTAATATTAGTAAGGGTTCATTCTTTACACATCAAATAGATCACTTAATTTTACAAAATTTGCCTAGATCAAAAAATTAAACAGACTAGGAATGATAATGGGAAAAAATTCCCACTATGCAGATCTATAATCCAAAAATTATTCGGCCATTAGTTCCTTGAGAAAAATTATTTCCCAAATCAGGTGAGTTTGTAACAAGGATGATATATTAAATATATTACCAAGCTAAAAATGTAATATCTGAAGACAATTTTTAATCTATTTAGAGAAGCTGATATTATTATTAAAACAATGATAAAAATTGGTCCCAAACCCAATCCAGTTTAATTTTTATCTTGTGGTACCCAACATTCTGGTTTACCAGTTGGTTTGGCTTTAAAAATAGGCTCTACACTGAACCATGACCTTCACTAGTTTTTATTTTTCATATTTTGGTTTGTAATTTAAATTTCTTTCCAATTTGAAACAAAACAATGGTTTCCGTTGATTTTTATATTATATTTCAACTAAGACACTATAATTTATTTGTCATTGTATAATATTTAAAATATTTCATTATAAAATTTATATCTTTTACTTATAATATTCTGCAAAGTATAGGATACTAAATAATGATAAATATTTTAGGCCTCTCTAAAATAATATAATTTGCAGTTAATTATGTAAAATAAAATTCTTTAGGAATTTTTATTGATTGAATCCAAGCTGAACTTATTATTTTTAGGTTCAGGTTAGGATTCATAAAGGATGGTTTTAATTGAATTCAGATTGAGGATCAATCTTTAGGTGAAGAAAATACAAAGATGATGAATAAAGGAATAGTAAAAATTTAGATTCATTTCTAATGGTCTTTTAAAAAAATTTAAGGCCTTAGAGGGATGATCACTCATTCTTAAATTAATTACATGGAATTATATACTAAATTAAATTATATTTCAAAAGATACTACATACTACAACTGACTTCCACCCTCCTAAACTGTATTGAAAGATGCTGTGATATATATTTAATAGGATACATGTATTATAATAATAAAAAAAATTATAACCTTTATCAAGGGATCATGATGAAGCCACAAATTTTTTAAAAAATCATTAAAAAAATCTTATTTTTTCAAATGTTAAAATATGATTAGTTAATAAGTAGCTTATAATATAAATTAGGTAATATTTATTTTATATATTATAGCTTATAAATAATCTCGAAATAAAATAGGTGATACTAAGCATAATTATATTTATATGTTAAGAAATTTGAATAAAAATAAACAAAAATCTATATAAAATTTAATATGATTTAGATTTGCAGATAAAATTAAAAAAATTCCATAACGATTTTAATATTACATGCAAAATATATGCTTTAAAAACTATGCAATATAAATACAAAACAATCTTTAGGGATATCAGTTTAAAATATATCATTTCAATGTATATAAAATTACTTTCACTATTTGCTTGCTGTTTTTTATGATTTGCAGCCATAATAATGCCTCTGAATTATGAAATATCTAGTTTGCTAAAACAATTTTTAATTGGCAACTCTTAAGCAAACAAAATCAATTAACGTTATCTAAATATTTTTATTAAAAATAAATAAAATTTTAATAACTTTAAACATCACGAACAATACCATTTTTACAAATATTAATTATAATCAGTTCAAATTTACATGCTTATATCGTATAATTATATAAAGAAATTGATTGGGACTTTTGAAACTATCTTCAAATTAATTGTTTTATTAAATATATTTAATTTGCATCATATAAATAGCATAAGACAAAAAGGCCCTTTAACAAATAAGAGGTGGAGGGGGTATTTCGCCGTTTTTTATATTGGAATTCTATCGCGATATTGTGGGAGATGGGGGGGGGGGGGGGGGTTGACAAAGGCGATTATGAACAATTATTTGAGTTTTGAAAATTCACTGTTATTCGATTTTCCAACATATTTTTCTTTTTGAACATGAAATCTCTTTATATCGTTTCCATGTTGTAGCAATTTGCAGGGACGTCACTAGCCTTTACAATCTTAGGGGGCTCAAAAACTTTATAAAATATTTTCAAAATTACCCTTTTTTTAGCCTAACATTATCCAAATTATCTTCTTTTTTAGCTAACAAAACTTTTTTTAGCTAACAAAAATAATCTTTTTTTCTAGCATTATTCTAAATTAATTTCTTTTTTTATTTTTTATCTAACAACTTTTTTTTAGTGGTATAAAAAATTTTTTTATAAGAGGGCTTCTAATCTTTGAAGGAGACGCGCCCCTGCGCCCTCCTAGTCGCACTACCAGCGTCTACATAACAGGATTTTTACTGGGTGCAAACCCCCTTCAAAAACTTTTGCCTACCCCACTAAAAAAATCTCGCCACCTTCGGGGGCGGTATCTCCTTATTATTATTTTTACCTCTTTAATTTATTGATACTCTTTTCAGAGAATTTATAAAGGATAACTTAAATTAATCTATCTCTAAAGAATTTATTTTTTAGATAATAAATTCAATTAAAATCTCCATCATTTTCAATGAATTAATTATTTTGGCATTATGAGCTTGCTGAAATATCTAAACCTTTTAAATTACATTTAAAAGGATAGCAGAAAGTTTTATTTGGGAAACAATGTGTTTGATTGTTTACAATATATAGACTTGGTCGATGAATTGTATTATAATAATTCTATAATAAAAGTATTAATTTTTACAGCAATAAATTTTGTTCGATTTCATCTTAAAATTTAATAGATAACCCCCTTCAAAATTTATCCTACCCACATTAAAGCAGCCTATTTCCCTCAAAAAATAGGTTGCAAACTGTTCCTACTCCTCCCGCTCATGTAGACGCTGGGCACTACTGACAATTGGAAGTTCTAATTCTAAAATTCAAGCTAATCTTATGCACTTTAATCATTGTAGTAGTCAGAATAAATGACAATTATTATTTGCAACAAATCTTGGCTAGCCTTATCATTAAAAGAAACTGAGAATTTATTCTGAAAATTTAAAAGTATAAAGAAAGAAACTATGACTAAAACGAAATATATTAAAATAAATGCCGTATCATGCTAAGCAAGTGGGAAGTACAGAAGAAAATATTTAGTTTAATAAAACGAATAAGCAAAGCTCCATTGTAAAATTCATGAAAAAAACGAAAGATGGAAAATGACTTCACCAGTTATAATTATGGCAATTTTACTTTATATATTTAAAAATATCAAATATTTTATTTTCAATTTAAGAGTATCGCCACTGATGTCGATACCCTATAATTGATTTTAAACCATATTCTATTTCTCTTATTTTTATTCTTTTAACATAATTTTATATATTTCGAGCAATTAAAAATTGAATCTTAATGTCTTATTTAATATAATAATAAAAGATTTTCCTATTATAGATTCGTTAGAGGACTAATTTTTAGAATAAAATATCATTCTCTTCTAATGTTTCATCTTAAATTTGCTATCGAACGGATGAAGATATATATATATATAACAAATAAATATTTCTTCGATTATTAAATATTTATATTGCATATTAATTTCAAATTATGGATCATGTAAATTCTCAAGATTGATCTTTATAAATTCATTTTCAAGTAATAATATTGGATAGATTATTAGACCTTCCAGATTCACATAGAAATATCGCGGGATTTTCAAAGATTAAATTGTTTAAAAAGGACAAACGAGATAAAATTTTATGTAACATTGAGTTAATTATATCAATCTTTAAATAAATGTTAATCAAAGAGTTACAAATTTATTTATAAAATAAAAATACATAATATACGAGTGCTGAACCTTTTGATATATGAGTTCAGTTAAGGTTCCTGGAAGAAATATTATAAAGGGTTAAGTTTGATTCAGGATAAGAATTGAATTGTTAAGAATCTGAAAAAATCTAATGATTATAATTATTTTAAAAAAACAGGTAACCTATATATATATGATACCAATGTTTCAGATATGATATTAATGTTCCACTAAATGTCTTAAATATTATTTGTGCAAATAATAGATAATATTTTTAAATTATATTTTTAATTTTAAATAAAAAAAAAATATATAAGTTAGTAAAATTGAAAATAAATAATATAGAGGATTTGTTTGTAAAGAAGTGTAACATATAACAGCAATAAGAAAATTTAGTAATGTGTTTTTAAAATTTATCCTCCAAACTGCACACCCATCAACCCTCCGGCCAAATCCAACCGACAAAGGGTGAATACCTTTAATCAAAAGATATTTAATGTAGGTTTTATTTAATGCACATAGCGTTATTTTGTGTTCATAAAATATTCATCACCCCCTAAGACCTAGACCCGCCTACTTAGTATAATAATTATTATTGGAATCAAAAGATATTTTAATAGTCTTTTATTTGATATCTATATCTTTTTTATTTAACCCCCCCCCCCAATTCATTCTCCAGTCCTACCCACCAAGAATGAACCCTCAAAACCCCCGCCCACTTAGAGTGATAATTATTAAAATCAAACGACATTTTAATTATCTTTTATTTGATATCCATATCAATTTTTTTATTTTTTTACCTCCCTTCCCTCTATTTAACGCCCAGACCAAGTCCTCTCTATCAAGACCAAGAATAAACTTTCAATCAAAAAATATTTAAATTAGCTTTTATTTGATACTCATATCGATATTTTTTGTTGATACAAATATTCCTCACCACCAAAGACTTAGATCCGCACATTTAGAGTGATAGTTACTATTGCAATCAAAAGTTTAATTACTTTTTATTCGATACCCATATCGAAAAATAATTTTTACTCACCCCCTCCCACCACACTTTTTTACTCATCTCACAGACCAAAAATGAATACTTTCAGTCAAAAGATATTTAAATTAGCTTTTATTTAATCATATAGATATTTTGTGTTTATAAAAATGTTACCGACCCTCCAAATCTAGGCTCGGACATTAAGGGGGAAGGTTGACCTCCAGTTAAATATATTTTTTGATTAACATTGATTGATACCCTATATTAGACATATCTACCTTCATAAGGCCAAAAATAACAGCTTTAAAAATATTAAATAAAAATATAAAAGTAATAAAACGAAACCGTTTTAAAATAAGATGTCTCGTTATCACGGTTCGCACGTGATAATCCCGTAGTTTTTACATTTAAAATTGAATTCTCAAAAGGATCTCTTTAAATCCCGGATAGTTCTGATCCCCTTAATTACTATATAATACAATGACATACGATGAATGAATTATTAGATAAAATACAATTTATCTACAACTACAAATCATTAAAAGATGATAAATTAAAGCCAAAAGAAACACCTAATCATTTTAGAAATAGTTATAAAAATTTTTTTACAACAAATATATATTATATAAAAATAAAGATACAAATAAGAGCATAAATATTATAAATAAATAAAATAGTTTACATAAATTTGTGTTAATTGTGTTGTTTATTCAAATTTGTGAAATAATTTATTTTAATGTTAATTGAGTATTAATTTAAATATCTATTGAAATGTTTTAGTATATATACCAGTTGATTATTATACATATGATTATTAAAGTAGAAATAAAGTTAATTTAAAACCAAAATACAAAGTTGTTTCTTCCTTGTTTCTTTCATGGCGCCCCGGTACGTTTTTGTAAGAAAAAAAGAAAATGTATAAAATTTGCCTAAAATTAAAAAAAAAGTAAAAATTAAATTAAATTCGAAGGACATGACTTGTTTTTTTTTAAAAAAATATATATAGTCAAATATTATTCTGATATATACATATACAAAAGGTAAAAGTTAAAACTTACAATTTTACGCCAATTTGTATTTTGATACGCTTATTATGCTACAAGTTATAAATTGAATATGAATTACACATTTTTTTCATGTTATAGTATTTTCTGATCTATTTTGATAAATTAAATATAAAGACATAATATTATCTGATTTTCTTTTATAACTTAAAATTAGAGATTCGGAATAATCTAGTTTTTCTTTAAAAACTTAAATTTAATGAATAATTCAATTTCCTTTGACGACTTAAAATCCAACGAGATTAAATTATCTAATTTCCTTTGACGACTCAAAATTAAAGCATAGGATTTTTTTTTGATTTGCTTTGACGATATAAAATTTAAAGACATAGAATTATTTAATTCCGTTTGACGATGAATATAATTTTTTTGTTCGATATGAAATTCATAACTTAAAACATATAGTATTTTCTTAAAGTAAAATTTTTATAATGGACAATAAACTTAATGCTAATTATGGACAATGCCCTGGCTCTGGGTGGTAGACTAGAATGAGATGACTACCTAACCTATTGAGATGACTACCTAACCTATTGAGATGACTACCTAACCTATTGAGATGACTACCTAACCTATTGAGATGACTACCTAACCTATTGAGATGACTACCTAACCTATTGAAATGACTACCTATTGATATGACTACCTAACCTATTGAGATGACTACCTAATCTATTGAGATGACTACCTATTGAGATGACTACCTAACCTATTGAGATGACTACCTAATCTATTGAGATGACTACCTAATCTATTGAGATGACTACCTATTGATATGACTTTTGTAGTTCTACCGGAAAAATAACTAACAATAACTTTGCTTATGTAGACTTTATTTTTGGTTTCTACAAATCAAAATATATATTATTAAAAAATAAATTACAATCTTCGAATCATGAAAAAAAAACATTATTATTATTTTTCTTTAAATATAATACAAAAAAATCTTTGACCTCATTTCTTTTTCATATAAACATATAATATATCTTTGACTCATTTCTTTTTCATATGAAAATATAATATATCCTCTGGGCAAAATTATATATATTTTTTTTAAATCACTATGCAAAAAAATTTTAATCAGCGTATAAGCATTCCATAAATGATTCAAAAAAAAAATTAATCAGCGTATAAGCATTCAATAAATATTCCCATAATTTTTTGTTTAAACCATATTTTATGTCTGCATTTCTTCTTTATCATTTCATACACTCAATCAGATCTTGATAATTATCCCAGTATTGCTTTTAGAAGGTCGATTCTAACGTTGCCATCATCCTTTCTTTTAGGCGATTTTAGTAGTATCCTCATAACTTTTTGTCCTCCTAACATAGTGTCGTTCCTCTCATACGTTGGACATACGATGTACGCGGGTAGTGGTTGCTTCTTGATTACACGATTATCTACATCATTGAAACCATTGAAATCTGCATCTTTATTAACCAGGAACTTTCCTTAAATATTTTCTTTTTTTACAATTTCCTCTTTCAACCATTACTATGCACTCTCTTCCGCAACTGATCCCTGTGCCTGACACCTTCACTATTATCATCAAATTTTACCCTATTTAATTTGTTTCCTAAATTCTCTATTACTAATCCTTTCTCCCATTTCTTTGTACTTCCATATAATCTAATCCACACTAACTGTCCCACAGTATATTCCAATTCCCTTCTATCAACACCCTCTATAATCTCAGCTTCATTGGATATTAACATATCCAAAAACATCCTTACCTACGGGCCTATCATTTTTTCCGTCGGAGACAAACCATCATTACCCATCGCATTATTATAATACAAATGCTTCACTCACATTTCTCCTTTTCCACTTTTGGTTTTCTTCAACTATCCTTTAACCGTCGCTACCATCCGTTCCGCCTGTCCATTGGAACTGGGATGATACGGTGGCGTTAACACATGATATACACCCGTTTTTTCACAGAATCTCCTGAATTCTTCCCCGATAAAAGCTGGTCCACCATCCGATACTACAATTTTCAGAATACCAAACTTCGACCATACTTTTTTAAAATGTTTAATCACAATATTCGCCGTTAACCCATGAATTTCTTTAAACTCTATCCATTTGGAGAACGCATCTACACTTAATATATACTTTTTTCCTTCATATTCGAAAAAATCAACATGTGGTTCTACAACTTTTGGCCATGTACTATTTTTATCCTTACGGAGCATGTCAGACCCTGCATTACAAATCTCACACTCTTTTCCCAATTTATCAATATCCTCGTTCATTTTCGGCCACCATACGTACTCTCTTCCCCATTGTTTCATACTAGTAACTCCTTGATGACCCGCATGTATAACATTCAAATTTTTTCCCTCAATTTCCGGGGTATAACAGCTAGGGGTTCCCTCATAATACAATCGTTTACTATAGTTAATTCTGTTTCAATATTTTTGAAAACTTTATCATCATTTTTCCATGATCTCTTTCCCATTATACATAATTTAACTACCAATTCTCTATCTTTCCTTGTAAACCTTTGTATATCTTCCCATGTCGTTGGGCTACCCTTTATACTTCTCATTATCGTACGTACAAGACATTCTTCCCGATTATCAATTTTCAAAATCACCGATTCATCAAACTTTCGCCAGCACCTAACCTTGACAAAATATCAGGTAACTGGTTCTCTTTTCCCCTTCGATATTTTAAATCCAAATCAAAACTTCCTACTAACAATAACCATCGCTGAAGTCGAGGCGATAACATCAACTCTTTGTTATCTTCCTTGAATAAGTGGATCCAACGGCTTATGATCTGTAAAAACAAAACTTCCTACCTATAAGGTATTCACGACATTTCGTTAATCCAAAAATCACAGCTAAAGCCTCCCGATGGTAATAATTTACCATTCCCATAAACGACTGGACCTCTACTTTACTGGTCGGCCTATTCAAATTCACAATACTCAACAAATTCTTATCTAACGGTTTTACCTCCATTCCATTAATCCTATGACCCAAATACATCACTTCAGTTACTCCCAACACACTCTTTTTACGACTCGCCTTTAATCCTTTATTTCGTATTCTAATAAATACTTCTTCTAGCCTATCATCATGTTGTTTCATCGTTATCTCTACCACTAAAACATCATCCATATAATAAAAAACACCCTCTAAACCTTGGAAAACAGCAGCCATTGTCCGCTGAAAAATAGGGGCTGATACACTTAACCCAAATGGTAATCGACAAAATGTAAACAAGCCCTTGAATGTCGTAATCGTCAACAACTTCCTAGTCGTTTTCGCCATCGGTAATTGCAAATATGCACACGAAAAATCAATCTTGGAAAAATATTTTCCCCCTTTCAAACTGGCCAAAATTTCTTCTATTCGCGGTAACGGATATTTCACCTATACAACCCAAGGATTCAAGGTCACTCTAAAATCTGCACATAACCTCAATTTTCCATAGGCTTTTCTAACAGGAACCAACGGAGTTGCCCATTCACTGTAACCAATAGGACAAATAATTCCATCTCGTACCCAGTTATCCAACTCTTTTTCCATTTCCGCCCTCCATTCAAATGGAACTCTTCGCACCGGACAATACTGCGGTACAAAACCTTCCTTTAAACGGATATCAACTTCATAATCCACTAAACATCCTAATTTCTCCTCAAAAATTTCACTATGACTATTCATTAAAACTGCCACTGCAAGTTTCCAATTTTCCAAATTCGACAATTGTTCCTTTCCTTCCCCTCCATTAATCTTCTTTTTCTCTTTTTTTCTTACAAATTTCGCCAGGAAATTCTGTAACACTGGTATATCTTTCTTTCCATTATCCAGTTCCTTATACATTTCTTGACTAATAATTTTCTCCTCTATTTCTTCTGTTTTTGTGACTATTTTCTTTTCACCATTATTTCGCTCATTAATACATTTTCTACTAGGTATTTCCTTTTTTACCTCTCTAGAATCGTCATTTTCCACAATATTAACACTTTGCGACAACTCAGTATATCTTACCTTTCTTTTTTTAACTGGAACTATCCGCGTTTGAGGCATATTTGTTTTTTCAAATTCACTTTTTCGATCACCCATCACACCATTTCCAAGGATTTCACTCTTTACATGGCATAATTCTCGATTTTTTATTTCATCGTTCTGAACTTCAATCATATCATCTCTTTTAATTTTATTTGAAAAGATACCCCAAAAATTATTTAATGGACCAATCTTAACAATCCATTCCCACCCCATAATCGTATTCACTTTTTTATCAACAATAATTTAAATAATTAACTATACCATTTATCACAAACGGTACTTCAATTTTTCCTAAAACCTTTATTTCCGATCCGTCAAACTGTTTAACTCTCATCTTTTCTTTAATTATATTCTCCTCTGGCCAATATTTACAAAAATTTTCATAACCTACGATCGATATTGCCGCACCTGTATCCAATAACATCAAAATTTTTCTACTTCCTACAACTATTTCCACATGAGGACATTTATCCTTCTCACTTTTGTCCTCTAATTTTAAAATAGGGATTCTATAATCCTTTATAATTCCACCCTTTACCAAATTTACATTTTTTTACCTACTAAATCTCTCTTAATTTCTACATCTCCATCCACACGAAATTCCATTTCATTCTTTAATGTAATACCCTCCATTTTATTACTTTCACTATCATCTAGTCACCTCTCTCGACATTCTATAGCACTATGTCCTTCCTTCCTGCATTTAAAACACATAACTTCAACTTTATCTTCTTTCAACATATCATTATTCTGTAGCACTCTTACATTAGATGCCGGTGCTATGTATTTCACTGCCAGAAATGCTTCCCCATTTATCGGTTCTTTTACATAGCAATTCGCTTTAGCATGTCCCATTTTTCCACATCTTTCACATTGAAATGTTCTTTGATTATTTCCCATAATACGATAAGTCGGAACATAACATTTTTCACTACTATGTCCCATTCCTCCACATCTATTACATTTAATGGTTGCTTGTTAAACATTGCACCGTTCTGAACACAATTTCTACCTATATGCCCAAATTCTCCACATGAATAACATTTTACATTTTGCATATTAATCTTCGGACGATTAAATCTATTTCGGAAAAAATTTTCTTTTTCCCAATTTTCCCTTTCATTTCTCTGCAAATTCATTGACGTATTATACTCTTTAAAATGATCGTATTCCTTATCATTTCTTCGATCATCTCTTTTGAAATCCCTTTCATTCTTCTCTCACAATTTTATCCATGACTATAATTATTTCGTTTATTATCTCTCATTCTTTAATCTCTATTTCTATTTTATTATCAATATCTTTTCGTTCCTCTCCCAATCTAATAATATTGATACTTTTCCTCATTCCTTCTATCATATTTTCATTTAACATTTTCCATATTTCATCCTTTAAATTTAACATCTCTTCCGTAATTCTTTCATTTTCATTAACGTTTTTTACTTCCCTTTCATTTTTTCCTTTTTCAATTCCATTATTTTCCATTTCAATTTCCTCCGTAATTTCTATTCTATCTCTTTCTATAACTCTTTTTATTTTTTTCCGATGTATCATAATACCCATTATCCATAAACATATCACTACTAGAGCTATAATACAATTATTTCTCTGTGGAACCATTTCCACATACTTTTGAGTTTTTATATTTCTTTTATAATTAAACACTTATTTTTTATTCACAACTTTATAAAAAATTTATTAAAACTTTTATTATAAATATTTTTACATTACTAAAAGTTAAACAATATATCAAACCTAATATAATTAATAATATCAAAATTATATAAATGCACATCATTTTATATATTCCAAAAAATTTTTTACCTTTTTATTTTTAAGAATTTTTTATTTTCCACCGTGATTGTATTTTTTATTAGTACACTGCGTCCACTATTACCCAGATATCTTGTCCGTTGATTAAATAAAAATTAAACGGCACCACTTTTGTAGTCCTACCGGAAAAATAAATAACAATAACTTTGCTTTTGTAGACTTTATTTTTGGTTTCTACAAATCAAAATATATATTATTAAAAAATAAATTACAATCTTCGAATCATGAAAAAAAACATTATTATTATTTTTCTTTAAATATAATACAAAAAAATCTTTGACCTCATTTCTTTTTCATATAAACATATAATATATCTTTGACATCATTTCTTTTTCATATAAAAATATAATATATCCTTAACATACTACAACAATGACTACCTAACCTATTGAGATGACTACCTATTGAGATGACTACCTAACCTATTGAGATGACTACCTAATCTATTGAGATGACTATTGATATGACTGCCTAATCTATTGAGATGACTACCTATTGAGATCACTACCTAACTTATTGATATGACTACCTAATCTATTGAGATGACTACCTAATCTATTGATATGACTGCCTAATCTATTGAGATGACTACCTAATCTATTGAGATGACTACCTAATCTATTGAGATCACCCTAAGAATTCTTGTAAGGAGGGAAGTGTAGATATAAGTGAAAATAGTAAGATACCTTTCAGACCATTAAGAATTAAACAAAAACCTTCTTATTTAAAAGATTTTATAACTTAAATTATTAAAATAAAACGCAAAATTTAAAAAAACGCCAAATATTATATAATAATCTTTTTTGATTTATCATTCTTACGGAATTCTACATATTTATCATTCCATATTCCAAATTTTTTATATAATATCATTCTTACGGAATTCTACACATTTATCATTCCATATTCCAAAATTTTTATTCCAAATTCTTTTTTTCAAATTTAAAATTTTATTCCGTATTCCATATATTCAAATTTGATCAATTATTCCTTATGATAATGATAATGTACAGCAACTTTTCAAACCTATGAAAACGTATGGACTCAGGCGACTCAAACATAGACTTATGGGCCCACCGAGGAGCAACTTGATGCTTTGTCGAGGAGGGGAATGTTAATTGTGTTGTTTATTCAAATTTGTGAAATAATTTATTTTGATGTTAATTGAGTATTAATTTAAATATCTATTGAAATGTTTTAGTATATATACCAGTTGATTATTATACATATGATTATTATTATTTGATTTTTTTTAAAGTAGAAATAAAGTTAATTTATAACACAAAAAAATAACTTGTTTCTTACTTGTTTCTTTCAATTTGACACATACAAAATTAGTGAAATGTATGATGACAGTATATTATATAAAGAAACCTCTAAAATCACATGATGAAATCTTAAAAAATGTATGCACATATAAAAATCTTAATTCATTTAGAAATGAGCATCTATATCTTAAAAAAACTAGGAAATCTATAATTTTTGTAAACAAAATTTCGACGTCATTTAAACCCAAATCCTATGTTAGGCTGCGTCCAATGTTTTGCAAAAATTCTTAAAATTTGAAAATTTGCAAATTAATAACAAAACACTTTGGACACATTTAAGTTTTAAAAAAATTAAATATTCAAAATGCTTGATATGATTCAATTATTAATTACTTATTAAAAGATATGTAAATATCTAATTGTATTTATTATTTTATATTAGCTTTCAGTTATTAAACTATGTATGAACCTATTATTTGATAATTGTTATATCAAAATTTTATTTATATACTTAACAAATACATATATGTTGTAAATAATTGTATCAATATTTAATAAACAGTTGGAAAACCAATAATAACTATTATTTTGAAAAATAATTTTTCCATAAAATATATATAAATTATTATATTTAAGTTATATAATAAAATTGTAATGGAAAGAATATAATATCTTTTAAAAGTAGTAATAGTAATATTTTTATTAATAACTCTAGGGTATTCATTTTCTTTGTTAGCATTATCTTGATCTAGCTATTATTCAATAATAAATATCAATTAATAGTAATAATATGTACAGAAATTATAGTATCATCAAAAGAATCAATAGACATATTTTGCCCAATATTTATATTATTAAGCAATTTATTAATGTATGATGTAGCCCAATAAAATATATTTGGTATATCATCAATAATTTCTTTTAACCATATATATAGTTTAACAAATACTTTTTAAATTATATTATAATTTTTACCAGATTTTGTTGGGTGAAAGAATATAATTTATTAAATTTAGCCTTTACAGCTAAAAATTATTTTTCACTAGATCATAATTTAAGTTATGTTTTTCCTATTTTATTTTCTACAGAACTCTGAATTTTAAGTTGTTTTTGCTCCAGAGGTTTCTGTGCTCTTATGCTTTCTATAAAATTATATTCTGACACTAAAAAATATATTAATATAAAAGACTATAATTTTTAGATAAATTAATAAAGATTAACAGCATTAAAAATTGTACTTACTAATTTTTTTATAAAAATTTTATTAAAAATAGATTTTGAATAAATTTTTATTCGAATTTATCTTTTTAAATTATTTTTTCAAAAAAATAAATTTTTATAAATACCGAAAATTGAAATTGGTAACCATTTTATTTTTACATTAAAAATAGCTTGTGTTTATTTTCTTCATTTTTTAAAATATATTTTTCTGAGATGAAGCCTTAAGTGTAAAATTTATAAAAATATTATTAAAATTAACATATAAAATTAAAATTAAAAAACTGCGAAAAGGCTAGTGCTATTAAAATGCAACATATTTTAAAGAACAAAGGAGTCAAGTAGGAAGAATTCCTTGTGATTTAGAGAGGGAGAACCTCATGGATCATGATGATATACAATTCCATTTTATAAATATTTAAATGTTTATTTAAAAAGTATTACGATTTCATTCTTATTTTAATTCAAGGAATAATATTCAATTCACTAACGACAATGACAAACTACGAGTAAACAATCAATTCGCCAAGAATCACAATATCAAGTGGCCATCGTTAAAAGACCCCTTAACTCAAACAATGATCACAGCCAAACTTGAGCACAGCAATAAAAATGATTTCAACGACACCCTACTCAACATCACAACGAACAGTATGAATGGTGACTGCTGAATGGGGAATGTTGAGATGGTTGACTTTGTTAAATTTAAATATTGTTATTTTCATGTACTATATATTCAAAGGATATGTTATTATTTTTTACCACTTTTGATTTTGATGATACTAACGCGTTATAATTATATTAACTACATTCAATATATACCTGAAATGAAGTAAAAAGAGGATTGACTTTAAAAGTGTAACTTAAAGAATAATAAGAAATGTTTTAATTTTTAAAAACATGTTATTCGTTATTAAACTCATACAATTTTATATAATTACTTCATAAAAACATGATAGCTTTAAAACAAATTATCACTTTCTCATTCTTTCTTCACTTATAATAACTAATGGGCTTTATAAGTTTTCAGAGATTATGCATGAAGGGTTCGCTACTTTTTAAAGTAATTTTTAAAATACTACCAAATTAAAAACTGTATATATAATTTTATGGCTCCTATTAAGGGTCGTAGCCACGGGGCAAAAAAAATTTTTGGCTCCCAAATTTCCCCCATATATTTTTGGTTAATGATGCTTACTACCAAGTGAATGTATGGAAATATTTTAAATACCAATCCAATTTGCTAAATACCGACCAAAATTTATTAAAATGTAATAAGACCCTTATTATTTAATATATTAATACGGAATCACGTGGTCGAGTCCGGCCTTCTATATATCATCCCCCCAAGGATGGAACCACCAAGTTAGAATAAGAAAAAAAACATGAACATTTCCGGGATTCGAACCCGGGAGCATAGGATAAGTAAGCCAAGCTCTTGCCTACTAGGCCATAGAGTCCAAAAATCACGATTTTTCAAATATATATTATAAATATATTTGGTAGTGCCTATCCAAATGAAAAATGAACAAAATTCAAATTTGATAGATGGTACCTTAAGGTACCAAGCATCATTAACCTATATTTTTCCGGCCCCCCAAATTTAAAAATTCTTTTTATATTTTTAAAATAAATTTTAAATATTTATTCAAAAATATGTCTAGTTTGCAAATTTCTTTCTATCCTGTTATATTTTTATCCAATAATAAATCATCATTCATTCACATTTTCATGTGTGTTTGTGTATGACATTATATTCACATTTAAATTGTATAATTATTTTATTTATTATGGTCAAATCACAATATTATTATAATAAAACCAGTTATTTAAAGCAGTGGTGAATATTTTAGAATTATGAAATACTGAGATATCAACAATTTTGGTAAGCTAACAAATTAACCGTAATAAGGTTGCGTTTAATCAAAGATGATCCAAAAGTATGCTTTTACCTTCGACAAAAAATATCAATTGAAATTTGTCGATCCAACTGCATATCCATACATGCGTCATTAAGCCCCGCCGACCATACCTAAAATATTATTTTAAATTATTTTTTTAATTTCTTATCGTTTAATTATATATTTTTATATAAAATATAGATGTAGTATGTCAATTATAATTTTCATCATTGTTTTGTTTTTATAACTGTGCATTGCAGTTTTTTGATAATATTATCTTTACAACTTTAATCAATATTTGATTCGATACTATTTCTTAACATACAGGAGCTACCTTTTCTTGGAATTGGTTCAACAAAAATTATGGATGCCGCAAAAGATGAAAACAAAATTTATTTTTCTGGACTATTTATAGAATGTTTCATACACCATCCAAAAAGATCCTGGATTAAATAAAATTATGAAATACCCAAAAATGCCCCATCACCCCAGATTCAAAACTATGAAAGATATGGTGTTATAGATATCTCAGATAAAATAAAAGTGAGTGCCTTTTTTGTCTTAAGGCTGATGAGGCAAAAGTACATCAGATTATAAAAACCTGAGCATAATTAGCTATATTTTATTTGGGAGAAATTCAAGAAAATTTAATAGGAATTATTAATTAACAATGTCTTTCTACTGAAAGAATTACCGATTGCATTTTAAAGCAATATAGAGTTAAATATTAATTCAATGAATAAAATAAGCCTATATATGATAGTGCGAACGTCATGTCAGATCGAAATGGAGGAGTGCAAATCTTTTAGAAAAAATAGAAAAGTTCCTTTTATATGCTACAACCACAAGTTTCATATTGGTATAATATTGTTATCATTTCTAATTAATTTATCTAATACATTGTATAATTTATTAGCATTTTAGAGTATCCTGTAAATATACAGGTCATGTCTTAAGAGACTTTAAACCAGAGGTGCACTGATCATTTAAAAATATTTCGCATCATTTATGAGAATTTTCAGGCTATTGGTGAAGTATTATTTTACTTTTCTAATAGAACTCTTAATTCAGAGGTTTCCATTCATGATTCAGTCGAAGTCTCTACTTTTTATCTCAATGCGTCAATATAAATTACGTTATATTGGCCATTATAATATGAGATATAATAACAATAGATCCATTAAATAACTATCTACAATCAGGAGGTAATAATCTAGTGGTTGCTAAAATTTGTATTGATTCCACTATTATGATATATAAATAGAGAGACGTCCAGTTTATCTGGCTTTAAACAAGTCATAAATTATAAAATAATAATTGATAATGACATCACGCTACACCGGCCGAAGGCGCAAATTAAGAAAAATGGTGGGGGGGGGCGAAGCCCCCCAGGAATTTCTTTTAGTTTAGCCCCTGAGATTGTAAAGGCTAGCGACGCCCCTGATGTAAGCATCGAGATTTGGCTAATAGATTTCTAAGTAGCCATCTATGAGCAGAATCATTAGGCTTACATAATATTATTTTGGTTATAATCTAATCTAGGCCGTTTTTTTAAATTGACGTAAATCGGGCTTTTTACATCACTAATGAGCAGTAAATAAAAACTTCAATATTTTTGCCGATCATTATTTTAAGTGTAAAACAGATCTTTGTAATTTAAGGATCTAATAATTATAAAGTTATGGCAATTATGAGCATTTCGTATTGTAGCGTGATTAATTAACTCCCCTTATCACATACCTCTGAGTTAAGTAATAACTATGATAGATTAACTCCCCCTTTGATAAATAGTGTTAAGGAGGGAGTTAATTAGTAACAAAGATATTAATTACAATGTAAATTGATAGGGAGAATTATATGATCATGCAGTTTTTTTTTTAATATTGCTGAAATTCTTGTAAATTTGATTTTCGAATTTAAATTTTGAATCGAATTTTAATTTTTTTATCTACTTGGTGAAATTAGACATCCTTTTTAAAAATTAACTTGTTCACGTAAAAAGTAAAATATTTTATTATTTTAATATAAAAATATTAAATAGTGAATCAATCACGATGTTATCAATGATATTTAAAATTACCTAAAATTCAAAACCTACCCAAATTCCTATGTCGGCGATCATGGCTTAAAAAGAAACCTTAGAGTCAAATGTGCCAAGTTTTTCTTAGAGAATGACAAATTATACCATAACCTTCATAATGGTCAAGTTATCTCACTCTATAGCGAAAAACAAAAACTTCTACTATCATTCCATGGAGGATGTGAGACAAATCTCACAGAAATGTCATTATCAGGTCACTTTGGAATCAACAAGACATATGATAAACTAGTTGAAAGGTATATTTACTACTCAATTTAAAATTCACTTTCAATTAACAGAATATTGTTTTAAAATATTGCTTAAATTTAGCCTGATATCACCCAAAAAGCTTGTCACACTATAAAAATGTACTTTAACATAATCAGGTATATATTGCTCTTATAAGCTAGGATACAGTACTCAATTTAAAATTCTCTTTCAATTAATAGAATATTGTTTTAAAATATTGCTTAAATTTAACCTGATATCACCCAAAAAGCTTGTCACACTTTTAAAATGTACTTTAACATAATCAGGTATATATTGCTCTTATAAGCTAGGATACAGTACTCAATTTAAAATTCTCTTTCAATTAATAAAATATTGTTTTAAAATATTGCTTAAATTTAGCCTGATATCACCCAAAAAGCTTGTCACACTTTTAAAATGTACCATAATCAGGTATATATTGCTCTTATAAGCTATGATACAGTACTCAATTTAAAATTCTCTTTCAATTAATAGAATATTGTTTTAAAATATTGCTTAAATTTAGCCTGATATCACCCAAAAAGCTTGTCACACTTTTAAAATGTACTTTAACATAATCAGGTATATATTGCTCTTATAAGCTAGGATACAGTACTCAATTTAAAATTCTCTTTCAATTAATAGAATATTGTTTTAAAATATTGCTTAAATTTAGCCTGATATCACCCAAAAAGCTTGTCACACTTTTAAAATGTACCATAATCAGGTATATATTGCTCTTATAAGCTAGGATACAGTACTCAATTTAAAATTCTCTTTCAATTAATAGAATATTGTTTTAAAATATTGCTTAAATTTAGCCTGATATCACCCAAAAAGCTTGTCACACTTTTAAAATGTACTTTAACATAATCAGGTAGTAAATATTGCTAAGTTTTAACCTGATATGACCCAAAAAGCTTGCACCACTTTTAGAAAGAATTTATAACTAAAAACTTATACATCAAGCAGTACCAATATACTCAGCTCTTTCAATTTATAAAAAAAAAATTTTAAATTTAACCTTTAACAAATTTCTTTTACCATGGTTAAAACTTTAAAAAACAATATAGCATTTCATATATGTCTTTTAGATATTGGTGGCAAGGAATGCGGCAAGATGTCATTGACTTTGTAAAATCATGCGACCTATGTCAAAGATACAATTCCCGATTTGACAAAACCAGTTTGGAAATGCAGTCTATTCCTATTCCATCTACGTATGGACACAAATAGGGGTAGACCTATGTTCATTGCCAGAGAGCATTGATGGGTTCAAATATATTGCTATTGATTATTTTTCAAAATATATCGAAGCGCAGCCTATAAAGGATAAGACAGCCCATTCAGTGACCCTCTTTTTATACTCACTGTTATGCAGGCATGGCCGAGTCAAGGTTGATGAAATTTTTATAATATAATGATATTTATCATATTTATAGGTCCAAATTAATGATCAGGGGCGCGAGTTTGTAAACCAAGTGAGCAATGAATATCACAAACTCGTGGGAACCCAGCAGAGAGTGACAAGTGCTTACCATCCTCAGGCTAATGGCATGGTAGAGCGAGCCAATCGTACTCTTCAAAATTCCCTTTTGAAGTGTACAAAAGGCAATTAGAAAGATTGGCCTGGAGTTTTACCTGGTATTGTATTTGCCTACAATACATCAAGGCATGAATCCTCAAAATTTACGCCATATGAGATGATGTATGGCAGGAAATCTTTACTGCCCTGTGAGGTATGATATATATATTATTATTTGTATAAAATTATTATACATAATAAATTTTTATTATTTAAGGATGATAGAGAACCAGAAACAGATCTTGACGATCTTTCTGATACAGATTATGACTGCAATTTCCAAAGAAGGGCAGACAATATGAAAGGCATATTCAAGACTGCAACAAAAAATATTATAAAGGCTCAGCTTAAGCAGCAACGAGATTATAAAACTCGTAATGCTGCTAAGAATGCACTTTATCACATAAATGATAAAGTGCTTGTATGGAATAATTGTCGGGCTGACAGGAAAGTAGGGAAAATGTTGCAGCCTTGGGTAGGTCCTTATACAATTGTTAAAATTGTTAATAGTAAATTTATTATTTTTAACAAAATATTTATACATATTTAGGCAATGTAGAATTATCCTCTTCAATAGGAAAAATTTTACATACTAAGGCTAATATAAGTAATTTAAAGCACTATATAGAGGGTAACAAAGGTATTATTTTTTAAATATGTGAATATAACTTTTTTTAATGGTAAAGATACAGTCAAAAATATTGCACATTGTGAAACTATAGAGGGTGTTCAAGATCAAGGTAATATCAGTTTATTTATAAAATAATATTGAACAAATAATTAAGTTTGTAGGCTTTTTAAAACTATAGTTGGAGAAGGAGAAGGTAAACAAATGCATTTGGGAAAAAGGAAAATATATTTTTAATAATAGAAGAAGCATTATTTGAAGAAATATCCTGTGGAATAAAAGTTTCAGGAGAAAGTTTTATTTTTTAAAAATTGGAAAAATTATATTTTTGATAAAAATTCTAGGGTTGGAATTTAGAAAGGAGGATACTAAAATAAAACGTGTGAAGAGAAAGGGTATAATATATAAAATTATTTAATATATTTTTTTGGATATAGATACTTTTGGTGAAGATCCATTAATAGCTATTAAAAGTATAGTGAGAGAGGAAGGATATTTAGGTGTACAAGATCAGGGTTGTAATATTTTTTAAAAATATGTTATTATTTAATTATCCAATTAGATGACCAAATTATTGTGGAAGCAATAA